ATTCCCATTTTCCCATTCCCATTTCCCCATTCCCATTCCCATTCCCATTTCCTCATTCCCATTCCCATTCCCATTTCCTCATTCCCATCCCCATTCCCATTTCCTCATTCCCATCCCCATTCCCATTTTCCCATATTCCCATATTCCCATATTCCCATATTCCCATTCCCCCATTTCCCCCCGGGGCTGTTCCGTACCCTCCTGGAAGAGCTGTTTGGCGTAGGACGCCTGTCGGCCCTGCGGCTGGAAGAAGGCGTAGATGCATTTCCGGACCAGATCCTCCCATCCCGCCCGGCCCCCGGCGCGCAGCGAGCTCGTGTCGATGGAGATGATCTTCCCTGGAAAACGGGGAAATTCGGAATCGCGGGAATGGTGGGAAATGGGGAACGGCGGGAAATGGGGGAAATTCGGAAATGTGGGAATGGTGGGAAATGGGGAACAGCAGGAAATCAGGGAATGGCAGGAAATGGGGGAAATTCGGAAATGCGGGAATGGTGGGAAATCGGGGAATGGTGGGAAATCGGGGAATTCGGAAACGCAGAAATGGCGGGAAATTAGGGAATGGCAGGAACTTGGGGAAATTCGGAAACGCGGGAATGGTGGGAAATGGGGAAATGGCGGGAAATTGGGGAAATTCAGAAACGCGGCACTGGTGGGCAATTGGGAAATGGCGGGAAATCAGGGAATTCGGAAATTGGGGAATGGTGGGAAATCGGGAAAAGGGGAAATGGTGGGAAATGGGGAAAATTTGGAAACGCGGGAACGGTGGGAAATTGGGAAATTCGGAAATACGGGAATGGCGGGAAATGGGGAAATGGTGGGAAATTGGGGAAATTCGGAAACACGGCAATGGTGGGAAATTGGGGAATTCGGAAACGTGGGAACGGCGGGAAATTGGGAAAAGGGGAAATGGGGGAATGGCAGAAATGGGTAAAGGGGAAATGGGAAATCGGGGAAATTCAGAAACATGGGAAACGGAGGGAAATGGGGAAATTTGGAAACGCGGGAACAGCGGGAAATGGGGACAAGAGGGGAAATGGGGAATAGGGGAAACAGCAGGAACGGTGGGAAATGGGGAAAATTCGGAAATGCGGAATGGCGGGAAATCCAGAAATTTGCAAACTCAGGAAACGGTGGGAAATCGGGAAAAGGGGGAATGGTGGGAAATTGGGAGAAGAGGAAATGGGGGAATGGTGGGAAATTGGGGAATTCGGAAACGTGGGAATGGCGGGAAATGGAGGAAAGGGGAAATTGGGGAACGGCGGGAAATGGGGGAAATTCGGAAACGTGGGAAACGGCAGGAAATGGGGAAAGGGGGAAAAGGCAGGAAATAAGGGATATTCAGAAACATAGGAATGGAGAGAAATCGGCGTGGGGAAATGGAGAAAAGGGGAAACGGCAGGAAATCGGGAAATTCAGAAATGCAGGAACGGCATGAAATGGAGAAAAAGGGAAATGGCAGGAAATGGGGACACGGCGGGAAATCGGCATGAGGAAAATGGGGAAATGGCAGGAAATGGGGAAAATCCAGAAATTTTGTGGGAACAGTGCAAAATCGGGAAAAGGGGGGAAATGGAGAAACGGTGGGAAATTGGCAAGGCGGGAAACTGGGGAAATTGGGAAACAGAGGGAAATTGGAAAATGGGGAAACAGGAAATCGGAACGGGGGAGGCAGGAAAAGGGGAAACGGTGGGAAATGGGGACAGGGAAATTGGGGAATTCAGAAACGTGGGAATGGCGGGAAATTGGGACAGGGGATGGCGGGAAAAGTGGGAATAGGTGGGAAATGGGGAAAGGTGGTGCCCAGAATTCCCGGAATTTCCAGAATTCCTGAATTTCCTGAATTCCCGGAATTTCCCGGATGTACCTGTGGTGTCCTGTTTGGTGACGAAGGACTCAGCTGGGGCAGGCGCCGGGCGCGGGAGCCTCCGGGCGATGCAGATCAGGCACGACTGGAAATCTGGGAATGGGAAAATCCGGGAATGATGCGGAATTCCGGGGGGAAAATCCAGGAATGATGTGGAATTCCTGGGGAAAAATCCCAATCCCAATCCCAGCCTTCAAAATCCCAATCCCATCCCAATTAGGCTCCGGGCGATGCAGATCAGGCACGACTGGAAATCTGGGAATGGGAAAATCCGGGAATGACTCAGAATTCCAGGGAAAAATCCCAATCCCAATCCCAGTCCTGGCCTTCAAAATCCCAATCCTGACCTTCAAAATCCCAATCCCAATCCCATCCCATTCAGCCTCCGGGCGATGCAGATCAGGCACGACTGGAAATCTGGGAATGGGAAAAAATCTGGGGATGACACAGAATTCCGGGGGGAAAATCTGGGAATGACGTGGAATTCCGGGGGAAAAATCCCAATCCCGATCCCAATCCTGGCCTTCCAAATCCCGATCCCGATCCTGGTTCCTTTCTCAACCCTGGCCTTCCAAATCCCAAATTTCATCCCAATCTTGTCTTTCCAAATCCCAAATCCTAATCCAAATGGCAATCCTGACTTTCCCAATCCCAATCCTGATCCCAAATCCCAATTCCAGTCCCATCCCACAGGGACCGGGCACGACTGGGAATCTGGGAATGGGGGAAAATCCGGGAATGCTGCGGAATTGCGGGGTTTTGTTAAAGTTACACTCCCAAAATGAATCCCAGAATTGGAAGGGTTTTCCTGATCCCAATTCCAAACCCAATCCCAATCCTGTTTCATCCCATCCCAACCCCAATCCTCCTTCATCCCATTCTATCCCAATCCCACATTTCCATCCCGTCCCAACCCCAATCCTGTTCCATCCCATACCTTCCTGCATTCCCACCCAATCACAATCTCAATCCCATTCCAATCCAATCCAATCCTGTATTCCCATTGATCCCATATATCCCATAAATGGGATCCATCCCATAATCTCACCCTCTCCATCATCCCGGAACACCCAGGGCTGTGCCACAGTGAAACACTGCATCAGTTCATAGCGCTGCTGTGCCCCACCCCATCCCAATCCCATCGATCCCATCCCAATCCCATTGATCCCATCCCAATCCCATTGATCCCATCCCAATCCCACTGATCCCATTGATCCCATTGATCCCATAAATCCATCCCATAATCCCATAATCTCACTCTCTCCATCATCCCGGAATGCCCGGGGCTGTGCCACAGTGAAACACTGCATCAGTTCATAGCGCTGTCACACCTCGCCCCATCCCAATCGCATTGATCCCATTGATCCCATTGATCCCATTGATCCCATATATCCCATAAATGGGATCCATCCCATAATCTCACCCTCTCCATCATCCCGGAACGCCCGGGGCTGTGCCACAGTGAAACACTGCATCAGTTCGTATCTCTGTCGCGCCTCGAGGTTTTCGGCTCCGGCCTCGTCCGGGGGTCGCAGCAGCATCCGACAGCTGAAGGTGTGGCTGCTGCGGCGAGAGGGGTCCTGCGGCCAGGGGACGCCGTTCACTGTGGGGAAAAAATGGGAAATTTGGGATATAATATGGGAAAAATGGGAAATATGGGATTGGGGATGGATCCTGCGGCCACGGAACGCCGTTCACTGCGGAAAAATGGGAAATTTGGGATAAAATATGGGGAAAATGGGAAAAATGGGATTGGGGATGGAGCCTGCGGCCACGGAACGCCGTTCACTGCGGAAAAATGGGAAATTTGGGATAAAATATGGGAAAAATGGGAAAAATGGGATTGGGGATGGATCCTGGGGACAGGGGATTCCGTTCACTGTGGGGAAAATGGGGAAAAATATGGGAAAAATGGGAAAAATGGGGTCCTGCGGCCAAGGAACGC